ATTACTGAACAAACCTGTTGAGGGATGTTGGCATCCTTCAGCACAAATGTCCAAGGCTTCCTCCAGCTGGTATTTTCATATCTGATGGCTTTATTTTTAAAAATAACCAAACCTTTGTTTGCTCTTCCTTCTCTCTTCTGAACTCTAATCAAACCATCCCACAGTTTTGCAGACTAACGTACAAGGTACCAGAATGGTTAAAAGTACACTTTCCAGCTTGTCTAAATGGATCATGAAAATAGAATATTTTAATAGATATTCATTTGCTTTCTTATTTGCTATCAGAAAATTCATAGCTGTTGCAAGACACATTTATGTATAGGAAGCCTGTTTCAGCCCTCCGTCTATTAAATCAAATGGAGTCCATTCATTGTTTTGATTTCTCAGAACCTTCACTGTGCAGCACACGCGGGATTAGTGAGCATGCAGCGTGAAAGAGCAGCAGGAAAAGATGGTTTGGAAGTGCTCTCCTCATCACAAATATGTATCTTCAATATTTAGTTGTTGTGGCAGGAAAACGGCAACAAATACATGAACTGTAAACCATCTGGCTTGAAATATGTTCAAATATGAATGTTCATCTTGAAAAATGAAATCTATGGAATTCTGGCATCCACTTTGACTTCTGAGAGATGAACAGCTTGGATATGCAAAGAAGGGATTTCTAGACTAGCCTTCTTAAACTTTATATTTTCCTGAACTCAGAAGTTCAGTGATTCACTGCCTAGAGGGGAAAACTTCCTTCTCACTTTTAAGCTTTAAGGAAGAACACTGATGTCTTAAAAATCCTGCAACTGTATCTATGCAGGGATTTGTACACAATTGTTATATGTGTTAAAAAGCAGAGACCGGGATGTGGGTTGCTTGTTCATTGTCTAACATTTGCTAAGTTCCAGTGTATGCTAGACACAATATAAAACATGCAAAAAGCATGCAAATTCTGGCTTTCAACAGATTCCTAAGTCAAAAAGATAAATGGGCAAAGCAGGAGACTGAACTATGTCCCTTTGGTAAGAAATGATTATATAATGACTGTGCTCCCATGTGAACAATGACCCTCAAGTGATGCAACATCAGAGACCTGTAAGTAGCTTCTCCAAATGACTCTGAGAAGGTCTTTAGATGACTTGGTAAATGTAAAGAAGAAATGCATTGCAAACATCTGTGAGCCATAAGGAAGAAGGCAGAACAAAGCAGAATGCTCTGGGTTTAGCAGAATAGACCCAGAGGGCACCACAGGAAGAGGATTGGAGGCAGGAGTGTTTTTGTTTGCTATTTGATGTTTTAAGAGCTTATTAAAATGACATTTTGACAGACACAGAAGTTCAAACTTATTTTCCTCCTTCTCTTCCTTTTTTTAAATTTTTCTTATTTTTTATTTTGGTATCATTAATGTACAATTACATAAGCAACATTATGGTTACTAGACTCTCCCCATTATCAAGTCCCCAACACATACCCCATTACAAGTCACTGTCCATCAGCATAGTAAGATGCTGTAGAATCACTACTTGTCTTCTCTGTGCTATACTGCCTTTCCTGTGCCCCCCAATACATTATGTGTTCTAATCGTAATGCCCCCTTTTCCCTTTCTCCCTCCCTTCCCACCCAACCTCCCCAGTCCCTTTCCTTTTGTTAACTGTTAGTCCATTCTTGGGTTCTGTGAGTCTGCTGCTGTTTTGTTCCTTCAGTTTTTTTCTTTGTTCTTATATTCCACAGATGAGTGAAATCATTTGATACTTGTCTTTCTCCGCCTGGCTTATTTCACTGAGCATAATACCCTCTAGCTCCATCCTTCTCTTCTTAATACTATAATTTTTTACAAGACCCAGCTTAACTCACCTCTGGAGAGAATTTTCCCTTGAGTAAATCCCTCACCTAGATCTCTTTGTGCTTCCACAGCCCCAAGGGGTACACTCTCTACCTCTCCAGGATGCACTTACCCTTAAATGGTTCTGTAATTGCTGCACATGTTCCTGCCACCTCCCTATTACATTATAAGCTTCCAAATACCCACTGAAACCCACTGTGCATAGCATTGTGTAATGCACAGGGGAGCCTCAGTAGCACTCTGATGTGAATTTATGAAAGTTAGGTAGATGAAAGAATTTTGCTATAGGTGGGAAAAGAAGATTGAACTGGATAATGTTAACTAAGTTTGTGATGCAAGCCATTTAAAAATTATGTTAAGACAGCACAATGTTTCCTGAAATAAAAATACAATATACTTAATTCAGCAAAAGGTAAAATGTTAATTGATACACTTAGATTTTATTGTAAAATTATATAAATTTTAATGTATGAACTTGCTTAACTTTTTTCTCTTATTCTATTATTTCTTTAAAAATGGAATTTATCCAACATTTGATTTATCTAATATAAGTATATAATTATCACAACAAATGACCCTTAATATAACCAAATATGGATTTGAGATTATATGTGTTAGTATATTTTTCTTTATTTTTCATCTCTTTTCACTTTAATACTTAGATATTTATAAATGCTTTTAGGAAAAAGCAAAAACATGTTTAATGCTCAGAAGAGGACAATTCGGTGATGCTATTTTTATACTCTGTGAACTTTGCCGTATCTACAGGGAACTTTGATGCAGAAGCAAAAGTTACCAGACAATTGATCTTGGCCTTGAAGATCAAAGCGTCTTTTGGTTAGATTAACTGTTCAACTAAAAAACTAAAAAGAGCTAAAAATATAATAGAATAAATCCAGTGCAGGAATGTAGTGTAGACTGTGGAATTCGTGTTCGTATATGCAAGCAATTCACCTGCCTTCATAAACTTTAGTTCTGTTTTGCTCCTCCTTTTTGCATTAGAGAAGGTTTGTTATTGGTGATATTTACAATGGAAAAAACCCACATCATCTTTTGTGGTGGGCTGGAAGAGCCAATGAGTATATCCATGTAGTTAGAAAAACTGCATCTGTCTTGGAAACTAGCAATGCAAATTTCACTTTGTCCTGAGAAAATCCTGAGAAATGAAATGAGTACTACTGACTAGCAGTGAAAACAATCAGGTGAGACCAGGTTCAATTCTGAGCATGTGTATCATTTCAAGAAGATTTTATACTATTTCCTCTCTCCTTAGATTCAATCTCCTTGGCCCCATCTCTTGGGAAATGATTCCAGTAGTCTTGACTTAAATTGTGATCTGTACAGATTCCATGATTGGAGTAAAATCTAAGACAGACATCTGGGGAATTACAAGCATCCCCAAACACCCACCAGGTAAGAAAAATAATGAGAGCTACCACAATGTCTTATTTATCGAAATGAAAAACTTCTGGAAAGGAACCCAGAGGCTGAACTGAGTTGGACTTGGGTGTTTGACATAAGATATATCTTGAGTCTTATGAAGTCTTATTCCAATATTGTTTGTAAACCAAGCAGTGGTTTCATCAGAGTAAAAAAGTTGAGAAGAAACAATATGTCCATAAGTTGCACAAAAGTGTTGAGTTCTGAATTAATTTGAATATAATTTGAAGTTCATGTATTTTTCTATCTGAGTAAACTAAATATCATGGCAAGTTCTACAAAAATAAAATCCATGTAGGAAAATGCTGAAGTTATACTTTGATAATACAATGGTGAAACATTTTTATATGCTATAAATCAATAATAGCTACACTTCAACACAATGTATCTTTTCATATTTAAAATGAGGAGTAAATACATCACATGTTAGAAATAAGAATGGAGCAGGCAAAGATGCATTTTAAGCCTAAATCTTTACATTTTCTTTTTACTGTAGCACTAGAAATATTCTAAGTAATTAATAGAAACAATCTGACTACACATTACTATTCAGCAATACATGCCTCTCATTTGTAACACTGGATGAAGAGTACAGAAGGCTAGAAAGTCCAGATTTTCCTCACACTCATTGAATTTAAAATAGACAGGATAGTATAAAATTCTAGATGTTTCCTCTCTGAATTAATTTTTATAACCCAGCTGAATAAATCCTTTAATATATGTAAATCCTAAACACTTCAGAAATAACAAATCATTTCATCATGAAAGATTATTGGCTTAAAGAAATGAATTTGAAAACATTACATCTGCATATTGCTCACTGTTGAAGAAGCTACTAAAAACATAACTCATTCACTGCACCCTAACCTCAGGTTAATGCTGCCAAAATACCTGTACTTTTATATATTTCTACAGGGGAAAATTCCTTTAAAATGATTTCTTTCTAAAGACAAGCAATTTGCTAGCTTTTTACTAGTAAATCTAAGACTTCTCGGCAAAGGGCAGCACCTCACATAAGCTCATGTGTGTGATATTCTCATTTACCTCATGGGTGCACCAAGTGGGATTAGGAAAAACACAAATTTATTTCATCAATCCCCCACAAATAGTCTACTTCATTCTTTGTAGCCCCATTTTTAGATTTATGAGAGTTCTCCAGCATGTGATAGTTTTAAAGATCCTTCCCTTTTCTCTTCACCATCTTCTGAAAGACTGTTTCATTCCTATTTATTTACTAGCCATTCTGTATCTTCTATAAAGAGCTTTTTTAAAAGAGGGGGCAAAGGAACTAAAGAGGGGAAAATAGACAAAGTAGAGAAAACTCCAGTAAAGTGTTTTTGCTGTACCCAACCTTCAGCAGTTAGATTATTTCTCAAATTTACATAAAGACTTATTATCATCTTGACTGCAATCATGTAGAAAATGAATGGGGTATGAAGTACATGAGGATAATTTAATAAAACGAGCTTTCTTTTTTTATGAAATCTTTGAAGAAGAGAATCATTAGACAGAGACTTGTATTCACCCAGGTCATGAGGCATGTCAGGTTGGTGACGTGCTTTTGGCAAGAAGTCCTTAATTAGAAATTCCTCGAGAGCTGCTCCCAGTAGATGTTTCCTAAGACAAAAAGACAAAATAATTTAGCAGGGAAGCCCTTACTAAGGATACAACATCCAGGCTCAGGTGAATGAAAGAAATAATTTGATGACAGCAAATGAGCAAAGCTGTCATGATGGGGTGCTGGATTTTGAATGAGAGTCTCTCCTTTCTATTAGTAGTAAGTATCATTTTTGTTATTAAAATTTGAATATATATATATATATATGTTGAATAGTCTTTGATGTTTTAGAAAACTTGTATAGGAATGCTAAGGAGCTTGAAGTATTACTCCAATTAAAACTTGTTAGAAAACATTCAGTAGATATATTTAATTTACCCTTACAGAATCCTGTAAAGTTGTTTCTCAATTGAGTTCACTCTCAATTATTTTTTGAAGTCAAGTTAGCTTGTTTTTGCATAATGTAGAAACGTTTCTTTAAATCAAATGAAGTCTTTGAATTAGACTCTGAAATTGGCATATTTCTAAAGTACTTTCTGAGTTGTTTTTAAATAGTTCTTCCTTCTTGACATCATTGACTTACAAACATTATAGCAATGTTGACTAGGAAGGTTTGGTACTTTTCATTAAATTTCTTAAAGTGCACCCCATATGTACTTAAAATCTTTTTTATAAAGTCAACAATTTCTTACCATTGTAATCACTGTGTAAAAACTATAAGAAATAAGCATATGGAGTAATTCTGATTATTATTGAGAAGCTCTTCATTTCACTTTAAAAGAAGATCCCTAATTTTGAATAGAAGAGAAAGTTGAAGATAGAATTGATTGATTCTCTTTTCATTCTACTCTAGCTCTCATGGCTGGGAGTAAATTTATATCTGTTTGTCGACACCTTTTACTGGTATGAAGAGGAAAAGTCTTTCCTTTACACACGAGTTATTCTGGGTGTAAGTAGAGTTAGTGATTACACATTACCATTTCAGAAAACAAAATGCAGTCTATCTTCCTTGGCTTCCTTGGCTTCACTGCATCTCTTTCTTGTGTCTTTATATTTGCACAGTCAACTCTGGCTTGGGCACGAGCATCCGCAGTGTGCCTGAATTTTAACTGCATGCTAATTTTATTACCAATCAGCAGAAACCTTATTTCATTCTTGAGAGGGACAAGTATGGTAAGTACTAAAACACTTAATAATAATTCCAGTTGTTCTATCTTACTAATACAAGTGCCATGGAAAACAAAGATGTCCTTTACTAAGAAATTCCTAATAATCCTGTGTAAAATCAGGTTTGTAGCTTTGCAAAAGGACACGATGACTAAAACTGGAAATCAGAAATTGGTACATCTGATTTGACTTTTGCTTTTGCCATCGATTCCCTACATGCCATGAGATTCGGCTCAGCCTATTCCTGATGCATTTGCTCCATCTGAAAAGTAAGGCTAATAAAATTGACCTGACTCACAAAGATAGACACATTATAACAGTTTGAGCTACTACCATTTCTGACCGAAAGGAGATAAACAGTTGAGCCAAATGCCACTAAGGAAGCATCTCTGAGTTCTCAGCCCAGAAAAGCACAATATCAGTCACCCATTTTAGTATGTAACTGTTAACCCCTACCAGACATAATGGGCATTTCCTAAATACACTGAGCTCACTGTATTGAGTACTTACCTGTGTTTCCTGCTAAACTGAACCCCAAAATGAAATGTTAAGTAATCTTTACTTACTAAAATCATCTTTCACATAATCATCTTCATCATTTTATGAATATTTAGATGTGGATCAACGTAGTGCCTTTCTTTGTGTAATAAGGAATAATTGATAGATGACTGAAACCACATCAATGAGAATGATGGTTACTATCATTTTCTAAACTACCTGAGGAATGGGTATTAACAGGTTTATTCAAGAGCTTTGACTTAATAGCCAGGGCACTACTAGCTCATTCACTTTTACTGAGTTGAAATTTCAGCAGATCCAGTAATAACCATGTGCTTTTGCCTGTTCCACTAATTGTCGTGTCATGTGGATTCGCCTTCACTTTTTATTTAGAGGCAGGGCCTGAATCCTGCTCCTTTGCCCTCATGGCACTGTCATTGCTATGATTTTTCCCCAAATAAGACTATCATTTTTTGTTATTCTAGTGCTGCAGAGGACCATGGATGAGGCAATTAGACAAAAACCTCAAATTCCACAAACTTGTCGCCTATGGGATAGCCATTAATACAAGTAAGGGCTTATTATTAATTAATAATTATTATTTTGTTATTGCCTGATGGATTTTATAATACCTTATATCTAAGTTCATAGTTTTATGTCCCTCTCTGCCAAAGGTTCACCCTTAGGTAAAAGAAATCTTTGCCTTCCTTCTGACTACATAAGCTTAATCTAGACACAGTTTTAAATTCCTCACTTATACTCACATTTTTCCTACCCAGCCTTCAATTGGTCAAGGAAAAGTTTATGAAATTTCATTTTCATTTGTGAATAATTAAGCTTGTTGATAATTCAATGATAAATACCTACTTGAAAAATAAGCACTACGTTATTTAATGTAATTCACATCAGAAATGAAATCGACCTATGCTCAAAAGCTCAATCACAGTGGTAGAAAAGTGACTATCAAATGGTAACATGGGCAGTAAAAAGAGAAAAGAAAAGGAAGTTTGTGTGAACAATGTTCTGAATAGTTATTCAGCTAGTGTGTATGGAAAGATCTTGAAGAGATATGAAGCATTATAGCATATAAAGGGCTATTGTTATTTCTTTGGATAGAAAACAAGAGAATTCAAGAGAAAAACACTAGAAATTAGCATCCAAGGCCAAGGTTAAACTCTGGTGAGGAAGAAAAGGGGGGCAATAACCAAACAGCTTGTGGTTTTGTTGGACAACAAATATAGGGAAATAAAAGGCTATCTGAACGATAAAAAGTTATGATTCAGGACAGCTTCCCTCAAACTAATTTAACTATAAAATGTTTTCCTCATTTGTTTGTATCCTTTCATGCATAAAAGATAGCAGAATAAAAAGAACACTCAAAACAAATGTGGATTTAATTAAGCAACAAGACATGACAGACAGTGGCCAAGTGCCAATTAACACAACTTGAGATGCGCCGTGAGACAAGTGGGGTGAGTTCCCCATCAATTGCCTTCAACACCAGATTAAACCAGCCCAGGAAATGTTTGCAAAAGGTCTGTATAGTCTGTTAAGAAATAAGGGGGAAAGACATTCTGTCCTAGCGGAAACTAGCTAAGGGATGGAGGGCAAAGAAGGAGGCTCATTCATCTTTGTGTTATGGGGCCTACAACCTCATTGAGTGCACACGGGTGCCAATAATGCTCGATGAATGAGTGAATGCATGAAGGAATGAAGACTCGGGGAGCAGTTTTCAGCTTGGAAATGCTCGTCTTTTCCAGACCTTGAAAATTATCTAAAATTCGAATGAGGGGCCCCTGACAGTACTGAGTTCCTGGGACCAAAAGGAGATTGTGCCTGGGAACGTTCTTCAGGGAAGGAATACAAGGGATCTCTAGGCCTCTTTAAAGTCTTGAGAATCTTTAATTCCTGCACTAAAAGAGGAGATAAAACACAGTAAACTGGCAGGAAGAAAATGATCACCATGTAGTTCCTTCAAGGCAGAATCAGACTCTAAGAGAAAGTTATAAAGATATTACAGAGAAGAGGAATGAGAAACCCACAGCATTAAAACACATCAGAAAAGGATGGAAAATACATAATGGTTGTCACTGTGAACCTTTGCATATGTGTATTTCTTTTGATGGGATCATATATCAGTAACATGAATGCATCCGTGATGTCTATGGGATGTCTCCCATTTGCAAGACACCCTGACAGGAGCTATCACCTTATGAAACTAGCGGGGTCAGCACTGTTTTCAGAATGGAGTGTAATTCCGTAGGGGCAACAGCTGACTAGAATCAGATGACCAAGTTATTTGGATTGGCTGTGTGACCTCAGAATTCTTCTGTGCGGAATTAAAAGAGCAATAATACAATCTAACCCGTTCTATGAGTGGTCAGGAAGGGCCCCCTGGAAGCCTCACGCCTGGGAGGTCTTTCACTTGCTGGGCTGGCATGGGACCAAACCCCGGCTTAGCATGGCCCGCAGGCTCCCTCAGGGAGGCCTGCCCTCCAACCTCAGCTCCTGTCACTCACTTGCTTTTCCCCCTTGCAGTACCCAGCTACGGGGTCCCTGAATAGTCTGCACTTTTACTCTGGTTATTCCCTTTGTCTGAAATGCTCTTCCTCTCCTTGCCCATCGGGGAAGGTGCCGCCCTATCCCACTCCTTGCCTGGCGTCTGCCCCTGCCCAGCAGGTGGGGCTGTCCCCCGACCTGTCCTGCCGGCCGCAGCCGCCCCTCCTCCTGCATAGCAAACCTGCTCAGACCACCTCCAGGACTGGGACGGAGCCTTAGGCATCTTGGCTTTCCTGGCCCCTGGCACATGATAGGTCCTCAACAAATCTGGTCAAACCTGCTGAGTAGGAGGGGTCGAACAGCAGGCAAAAGAGATGGAGGGAATTACTGGGCAATGGTACAAGACGGGGCGGCGCCTGAGTTTGCCGGGAGCCTGGAGCAGTTTGGGGTGGGTGAAACGGATTGTGGGCAGTGAAGAGATTCGAGAGGATGCCAGCCGTCCAAGGTGATAAATTCACATTCTGCTGCCACAAGAGGAAGCAGATGACCCGCCCTCTTCCTCGCCCACGTCCCTGGAGAGCATCAAGTAGTCTCCCCAGCCCTCTTCTGCTTGAACCCCCATTGCCTTACTGGACTCCTGAACACCTCCCGGGGCGCCGCCAGCAGAGTCACGCTGCTTCTGAGAGCAAAGTGCCCCTCATCTCCCACCGCCATGGCAACCAGCAGCCGCCGCCGTTGTTTCCACTCCAGGCAAAGGCAGGAGGGTGGGCAGAACGCTCAGCTTCTCCCAAACCCTGACAAAGCAATTATTACATTTCACATTAACTAAGAAATGTGTCTGGCAACTGCGCTTTTAGGGAAAAAATAAAAAACAAAAAAAAACCCGCTAAGGTCTAGTTTCATAAACACCCCTTTGCTTTTCACATTTTGTCCTTCTGGTGTATTCGCTTGGGAGCAACGGAAAATGTCCCCGTGCTTATTTTATTAGCATCGCCCATTACGCTGCTCTTCAAATAGCCGACTGGCTTAATAGAGGTGTGTAACCTTGGAAGAAGTGCATCCACATCGAAGTTTGCGTGCCAGCCTCTAATTTCTCATCCGTTCCCCTATACGTTTGAACTGCAGGCTTTAATTGGTCAGATCATTAAAGGATGTAATTAGAGCCTGGTAGAAGTAGGCTAAGGAGGAGGAGGGAAGAGGGAAACAATGGTATCTGTAATCAAGGGCATCGCCGAAAATGCAGTGAAGGGGAGCTCTTCTTTTCTTGGCTCCCTGCCTTCTTGCTTGCCTGCCTATGATAAGAGCTGCTGGGGCATTCCTCAAGCACTAGGAAATCATTTCCAGGGACCGGTAACCCCACCAGGAGAGAAATTCTGGTTTCCCAGCCTCTCCGTTCTTTAATGCAGATCTTTTTGGACTCTCTGGCCCACAATAGACCTTGAAGACCCTATAAAGGGAAGAGTAGTACTTTGAGGGTGAGTTGCCTTCAAAAGGGGCTGGAAATAGTGGCCCAGGCAGCTGTCTCCAGCAAATTCCACAGCTTGAATCTGCTAAACTCCTGGGATGTACAGTTAACCCACATGCAGCTCCTGATGAATTGCTAAAATTAGTTTACAAACCTCAATAAATATAACAGGGATGGGCTTAGAGGGCTGGACTCAAGAGTAATGGGATTTAGAAGAAAAGACTTGAAGATCCCAAGGTAGAGAACAGCCCCAGAGACCAAACTCTTCAGGACCTGATCCCTAAGGAAATGCTATTAATCCAGTTCTGCTTGAGGTACGGGGCTGTAGGGAGGCCTCTTCCCAGTCCTTCTGACATGATTTAACATGGCATACAAATGAGTGATGTGCACAGGGTGTATTCCTGCAGAAATCAGACTACAAATTTTAAACTCTGGGGCTAGATTCTGGCGGCAGAAGTGCAGCCAGGATTTGTCCCTGGGTCCTTATTTCTAAAGGCTGCTTAATTAGGAGGTGACTGGCTCCGAAATGGCTGTTATCACTGACACGCAGGCAGAAAGATAGCAAACACTGACCACACTTCCAAATTCTCCCTCATTTATGCTCCCTTTGAGCTCTTGAAAAATAAAAAGAAGGAAAGAAAGAAGGAAAAGAAACTTTCTCAGGGCAACTGGCTCTAATTGTAGCCTTTATAAATTTTTTTGTTCACTCTTCAATAAAAGCTCCTTATTTGAACTCAGAAGTTCACAGACCAATTAAATGTGCATTTGTAGTGTGCCCAAGATTGCTACTCTCTTTTAACTGTAAAAGTACCTTGATGAGAAAATTAAATTGTGGCAAGACCCAGCTACAGTCTCTTTCTGCCTGATATTTGGGTGGCTTCTGGAAATGTGTATGTTGGATTCTTCTCGGGGCCCCACAGATAGTCCTTAGCGGCCAGGCAGAGCCCAGCTGGATGGTTGATGGCACTGGATTCCCTACGAGAATTAAAAAGCCCCTTTAAAGCCAGTGTTGATTTTGAAAACATTACAATATGAGTTTTGTGTTTGCATTACTTTCATATGGGACTACGGATCCTTTTTAGGTGGTAAGTGTTCCCAGTTAACCTTAGTTGGAGACACTGGAGCCAGACAGCTAGACAGAAGCTTACATAATATAATTTGCTCCAATACACCCATTTTACAGATGAGAAAATGGGCTGAAAGAAGTTAAGTGAGATGTATACTCTTCAATATTCTTTCTATTACATACTAATATCAAATCCAATAACAAGAATTAATTCTGATGACCAAGAGAGAAAGATAAAAACCATATCATTATTTTATCACATACGGGAGTAACTTTCACTGTAAAAACATAGACAGCATGGCCAGTATTTTTGAAATGAAAATGTATGAAGAGAAGAATAGAAAATATAATGCCTGGAAAAGAATCAAATCAGTATTTCTCCTAACATCTATCATGGATTTGAGAGCTGTGATGACTTTAGTTCCAAACCAAGATAACAACAAAATTGGGATCAGATTTAAAAGGACACAAAAATTTAGATGAATAAAATGGGCACAAGCAGTTTTCTCTCTGAGAATTCCTGAGATAAGCAAAATAAGATATTCCACTTTTTATCTTCTACCTATGAAAAGAAAAGAAAATGGAGGCACCTGGAACAAAACATTTCAGACATGAATTTTAGATTTCATGGGAAAAAATTAGCATAGCTCTCAATTTATTCCCTTGGAAGTCACCTCTAGAAAAGCATTTTAGGACTTCATTCATTTCTTCAGCTCTGTTATGGGCAACCTGGCAATAAGAAGAAATAAATAGCTCAATACCTTTGCTCATTCAATAAATGTACTTAAGTTTAGCTTAACAGTGTCAAATTCTCATGTGGAAATCAACTTGATAGAAAATAGATTGTGATCAACAACTCATTACACAGGAGAAAAATGGTGCTGAATGTAGGTATAAAAGACAGAATTTATCCTGTATTCCCTTTCTGTCACATGTGATAGGTAATGATAAATACGTCACTTAATTTGGTGAAGCTCAGTATCCATTCCAGTAAAACAGGAACAGCTCCACTTGCTGTCTGATGTGCTTTAGTCCATGGAGGGAGAATGAATGAAAGGTAAGAAAATAGTAGTGATGGTAAAGGGGTGGAATACAAAGGCGATATTTACACCACTTACATGAGGATGAAGGCTGTGATCAGTCAGAGGTCTTAGAGCTGTTTGACTCTAGATTAAAGACATCAAGTGACCATTCAAAAAGGTTTAGTTAATCCTTAATCCCATAGGAGAAATTAGTTTTCAGTAAATACTAAGGTACAGCAATTATTGATTAGTGAAAAGAAGCAATATAATTTAACCATCTGAAGATGGGGCCCTGGAGTCAAGCAAATGGAGTTTTAGCCCATCTTCGCAATTAATAAACTACAAGTTCCTTAACTTTCTGAGTATTGGTCTTTAAAATAAAAATAAGGCTAATACTTGAGGATTAAATGAAATAATCTGCTTAGAGCATTTATAACAGTGTCCAAAGTATATTAAGCATTCAATACATGTTAGCTATGAGAAATTACATGTTTTTTACAAACCTTAAGATAATTATCAGAAAATAGCATTAGTAATACCAGACAACATTTGTGTTCAATTTAGCAAATGGTTATGTATAAGCATATTGGAAGATACATCTACTAGCTAAGCTTTTCCAATTTTGTGGACACTGAGACTAAACAAGCTAGCCTTTCATAGACATAGCAGTATTTATTGGCAAATGGTACATAAGGAGGAAAAATACTGCCTGTTGGTTGCTACCCCACCAAACCCAGGAGGAAACAGTTACCGTCATAGACTCAGAAACACTATCACGTACTTTGCCCTCTTGGGTGAGCTTCAACCAAAAACATATTTGAGTTGATTTCTAACTTAAAGTCTACAGAAAAATGTGCAAAAAATATGCTTTAGCAGAGAAAACACTACCCCAACAATGTTGCCTCCACAGATAAATTTCCTACTCCTTTCTCCCTTTCTATAACGTCATTGTCACTCCACAAATCACTTTTAAACACATTCTAGTTCTCAGCAATGTGCCAGGTATTACAGCATCAAGATGAACAAGTTTCAAGACCTCAAAGTCCACTGAGAAACATAGATACAAATAAATATTCATAACAATAATGACTGGGAAATGTTATAACCAAAGTGTCGTTTGTGCCTGTGGAACTGAAGAATGCCTGATAGAAAGAAACTTTTGAGTTGGTCTTAAAGCACAAGCACAACTTCGCAAGTCAGAAAAGGGAATGGCTCTGAGAGAAGGAACTCTGGTGAAGAGAGAAAAGGCTGAGTAGAAGATGGCAAGTCTAAGTAAATTTGCTACTAGGACCACAGGAATCAAAATGCCAATGGGTATTCTCAGAAGTTTCAGGTTCCTTTTTCACTCATGACCCTTTGACCCTCAATGCACAGCCACAGAAGATCCCAGAAATGGCCTACAGCTTGTACAGACTGTGTTATAGTAGTAGGATCTGCTACTTTTTGATGTGGGTGCAGAAAAAATAAAAGGATATTAACTGGGAAATTCTCTATATCCTGGGCAATGACTTCTCATTTCACAATTGAATCTAATCCCAATGGTGAGTATCAACTAGCTACCCAACAGGGTTTCTATTCGCAGGAAAAGCAGCAAGATGTTGCTTGGATTTCACAAGACTGAAAAGAGTAACATGGGGCAGAGACCCCTTAACTGGATCCTGCTGTGTTCCCAAGATTGCTCTCTTCATTTAGAATTTAGGTATCACCAATTCACAGAAATAGAAAGCTGAGTTTTTTTCTTCTTGAGTATACAGAGATTTAGTTCCATAAATAATGATTTATTTCAGTCCACTAGGAATAATACCTGCAAATATATTGTGTGTATGTGTAGGGGTGTATATATACATACATACTAAAATGAATAAGGGAGGAAGAGAAAATATAATGTCTGAAAGAAAACAAAAACACTATCTCCCCTGGTATCTAGCATATACATTATATGTACATATATCTGTGTGTATGATATACAGTATTCTGGAGTTGATTTCTAACTTAAAGTCTACAGAAAAATGTGCAAAAAATATGCTTTAGCAGAGAAAACACTACCCCAACAATGTTGCCTCCACAGATAAATTTCCTACTCCTTTCTCCCTTTCTATAACGTCATTGTCACTCCACAAATCACTTTTAAACACATTCTAGTTCTCAGCAATGTGCCAGGTATTACAGCATCAAGATGAACAAGTTTCAAGACCTCAAAGTCCACTGAGAAACATAGATACAAATAAATATTCATAACAATAATGACTGGGAAATGTTATAACCAAAGTGTCGTTTGTGCCTGTGGAACTGAAGAATGCCTGATAGAAAGAAACTTTTGAGTTGGTCTTAAAGCACAAGCACAACTTCGCAAGTCAGAAAAGGGAATGGCTCTGAGAGAAGGAACTCTGGTGAAGAGAGAGAAGGCTGAGTAGAAGATGGCAAGTCTAAGTAAATTTGCTACTAGGACCACAGGAATCAAAATGCCAATGGGTATTCTCAGAAGTTTCAGGTTCCTTTTTCACTCATGACCCTTTGACCCTCAATGCACAGCCACAGAAGATCCCAGAAATGGCCTACAGCTTGTACAGACTGTGTTATAGTAGTAGGATCTGCTACTTTTTGATGTGGGTGCAGAAAAAATAAAAGGATATTAACTGGGAAATTCTCTATATCCTGGGCAATGACTTCTCATTTCACAATTGAATCTAATCCCAATGGTGAGTATCAACTAGCTACCCAACAGGGTTTCTATTCGCAGGAAAAGCAGCAAGATGTTGCTTGGATTTCACAAGACTGAAAAGAGTAACATGGGGCAGAGACCCCTTAACTGGATCCTGCTGTGTTCCCAAGATTGCTCTCTTCATTTAGAATTTAGGTATCACCAATTCACAGAAATAGAAAGCTGAGTTTTTTTCTTCTTGAGTATACAGAGATTTAGTTCCATAAATAATGATTTATTTCAGTCCACTAGGAATAATACCTGCAAATATATTGTGTGTATGTGTAGGGGTGTATATATACATACATACTAAAATGAATAAGGGAGGAAGAGAAAATATAATGTCTGAAAGAAAACAAAAACACTATCTCCCCTGGTATCTAGCATATACATTATATGTACATATATCTGTGTGTATGATATACAGTATTCTGGAATAATGTTCTCTGATTTATTTGGCAATACATCTTGTATTACATATGTTCCATTATTATATATATCATAATTATGCAATAAATATATTTATATATAATAATGGAATGTATATAAAATCATGTGATATCATAATACCTATTCCACTTCCAGAATGATCATATGTTTCTAACTAAATCATGGTGAATTGAGATTATACATTATTTCTTCATATCATTAAAATGGATGTGGTGAATCATACAACATCCTTGGAAGTGTTCAATCCACTCCATTCAAGGTACTGGGAAAGATGCACAAATAAATCACCTTTTGGAGATTACAGAAAGCAAAACAGAGGAACCTGTCCTTAGAGGCATTGTGGTTTTGAGGAGTTGCAAAGGAAGAAATCCATACGGCTCATGTACAACATTACCTCCTCAACCATAGCCATCCATATCGTGGCACATGTGTGCAACCTGGAGGCCTACCACTCAAGCCAGTCAGAGGAAGCAGAGGGACTTCAGGCCGCACTTTCCAAACTTGGCGACCACCCAAATGAGAGCTACCTCAACCCCATCCGGACCTTCCACACCGTGAGTTCTCCTTGCTATCTAGATCCTCATCTGAAAAATCCTTCCTTTTCCAAACCCTTTATTAGAAACACTATATTTCAAAAGCTTTTAGTAAAAGAGAGAAATTTCTCTCAAATATTAACATCAATTTCACCTTTTTTTAAAAAAAGATATTTTTTTCTGCCATAAATGTTGCTAAGAGGTGATGAGCAAGAAAAGAAACTGATGCCACGTTGACAAAAAATAATAAATACTGCTAAAATGGAATGAAGTAACCTGTTAAAACCCTGATTCTCTAAAATTTACATATAGCTCATGATTAGATTTTTTTGCTGATGTTAGAACCATAAAGAATATGAAGTGTCACCTAAATGCAGGGATTATAAATGGGTTGTCTTCATTTTTCAATTTGCAAATTGTTTTCTGGATCTCATCTCCTGTGTCAGATTTTGGCACCTGTGTGACGAGCTGGTTTGCCAAATCAGATATTGGGCAAAGTAGCTCATTTCATAATGAGACCTACATGGCTAGTGACATCATTAATGCTGATTACCTGTGTGCACAGAGTGACAGCACATGTGGGAAACAAAAAGAAAACTGGAAATGTAGCCCAGAAATCCACCTGCAGACATTAAGATGTTCTCCTTCCTTAACCTTCCGCCTACCTCTTTCTTCCTGTTGGATCTAACCCTTTGACTATGCTCAGCCATGTTGGAATATGCATCCAGCATGTCGTCCAGGCTAAAAAATCTGAGCTGACCAAGAAGAACGCTAAACAGATGCACTGCAGCAATGGAACTCTCTCCATGACCCTTTCAGCCATCTCGTTAAGTGACTGTTTTGCCCACTTAGGCTTATTTGAGTAAACAAAATTCTTGGGGAAATTCTTCCATGTTATGTCCCCTAACGATCCTAAGATGATTTCCAATATCTGGTCATTGATCAAGCAAAAGGTACATTTTCTTAGCTGACAACAATTAGAAGTGCAAGCTTCACAATTATAAATCAAAACTACAGATGCCCGAAGCTTGTGGGAAGGCATCTGAGGCCCCTCATCTGACATTCTTCTCCCCCATTAAACTGCACACCTACTGGGATTAACTCTTTTCCCCACTAAGGCTCTGGAAAGTTCATTGCTACAAACACCCAAGAATAAACCTCATCATTTTGAAAAAAAAAAAATGATATAGTAATAGTATGCAATATAAACACCTTTAAAGCAATTTAACAAGATGATTAAGCTCTTCCCAATATAGTCATTTCAAACTTTAAGAGAGGCAATATATTATATAAGTTTTAAGTTCAGGGAAACCCTCTAGTTTGGGGTATTTGGAGAAAGTTCAGTAACACAAATTGATACATTTGGAGAAAGTAGCAATAGACAAAGTGTCCATTATAGAGTATTTTTAAAGAGATGCAGTGGAATAATTTTAAAGGATACATTGCAACTCAAGCTACCTATAAAAGTAGTTGCAAGATAAGAGATGTGGGCAAAGAATGATTTGAAATTAGCACATGATCTGATGTAAATGGATTCTAAAATGCAGATTTACACTTGAAAAAAATCTTCTAACATGTTTTAGACATAGCCTTCCCAGTTTTATTTCCACTGCTTGCTCTGTGAAGAAAAAATGAACAATGGAGAAGTCCTGTCCGAATTACCTTGAGATCTCAAAGCAGCCCAAATTAATGAGATTTTGCTGACAAAAGGTACACTGTGCATTTATTGAGCTCATAGTCGTCTCAACCATAGTAACACAATATATGAATACTAATGACTTGGCAAGAATATGGAAAACTCCCCATAAATACAAAGTGCTTTCTGATTCATATTCTAAAAGGCTATTAAACTGTCCACTGCCCTCACAGGTCAGAATTCTGGCTTTTTGGCAGTGTCTACCAGAGAAGAATTTCTGTATCTTTATGGATCACCTAGGATTTACAAAGCCTTACTCCAAGCCTCCTGAGGTGGCATGAAAGAAATGCAAGTCGTGGTCCCTCCAATTAAAAAAGCAGGAGTAAGGAATAACTACCAGGGGAACGAAGTGTGCAGCTGCTTTATTAGGAATGGCTCTAAGAGAATTCTCAAAAAAAGTGTTTATTAATGTTAAAATGAGATTAAGCAGGGCAATCCACATTTTTATTTTAAAAATCAAAACCTTGAAACTCGGATTTATTTTGCAGTATCTTAAAATGCATTTTCATCTATTGCCCTAATTTCAATTCAGCCTAACAACTTTACATATAAAAACATGTCACTGATGACATGTCACTGATGAAATTTGAGCAAAGAGCATGTCCGCCATCAACTGAGGCAGAGAAAAGGGCAAGGGCGCTCCCTTCCTGAATCGTGTGGGGACCCTTTTGGAGGCTAATAAGCTTCTGATTACGGTTTGAACTCTTCCCTGCTTAAACTCTCAGGGGTTGATTCTAAAGTGGAAAAATAGAGCTAAAATATTAATGTCACAGTGTTTGTTTCTTTTAGAACACAATCACTGAGTTGCTAACAACAATTGCGGGCGTCACTGGTCTGATGATTTTTCTGGCTTTAATCTTGATCCTGACGTCTTCCACCGAGTTCATCAGACAAGTCTCCTATGAGTTGTTCTGGTACACACACCACGTTTTCATCATCTTCTTTATCAGTCTGGCTATCCACGGGGCAGGGTAAGTCCATACTGTGCTCAGTGTGGAAGATTTTATCTCTGTGAACCTCAAAATCATCTTACAAAAAGTCCTTTGGCTGGAGGAGCAAGACATGCAGGGATGAAAGGACACCTAAAATGTATGAAAAAACACACTCACTGTGGTAAACACCTCTTTTTAGTAACATTGAAAAGGGACATAAGTGGTGAAGTATTGTATCTATTTTTCCTAGCTAACTCTGTTGGGGAGTCTTGACCTGTGTATAAGATGCAGGAATTTTAATGAATACTGGATGACAATAGATTTGTTTCATTCAGAACCTATTTCCAAAATCCATTTCTATGGGATTAGTTAAGATATATATTTCTGAGACCCAGATTTTGCTTCTGCTTGAGCAAAACCACCCCCTGTCGGGCCTGGGCTCTGCCATGAGTCATCAGAGTGACAGCATGCACACCTGTTAAATTCTCTGGACCTCATTGAATGAGAGTTAGTAAATTCTCTAGTTTGTCCATTTTACCTCTAGGATTCTGTCAAATTCTGTTCTGGCCTGAGACCGTTAATCTTCTCATCAGGAAGCTAGAGTAGTGCCTGAGACACAACGCTCTCAAATACAATGTTTTCAATAATTTAAATATTATCCAAATGCTTCTGGACTTATTAACCAATTGATCTATAAACTGCTTTTTCCTATATTCACTATTTCACAAATGGGTGCCTTCTTTTTCCATTTTATAATTTTCAAAGCACAGTCGTTTGCTTAATCAATTTGACCCCAATAATTGTCCTATCCAACAGAAAGGTGCTGTTACCCCATTTCATAAGGATGAAACAGGTATCCAGAAGGTGGAGTGAGTGACTCAGCATCCGAGGACAAATAAGTGCCGAGTCAGACCTGGGTCACCCATCTTCAGACAACCAGACCTTGATTCGTAACAATGTCCAAAGAACAGGTCTTCACTTTCTCAAATTTAGTATTCGACGTTACACATGCTGTCTGCACCCTGCATGGCTTACCAGCAGCTCTTCTTTGGCCTCGCACACCAGCAGACACCCGTCCACACCCTTGTCTCCCTGCTCTGCAGCTGTAGAGGGCAGAAGCCTGCTGCTGGGGGTGGGTTCTGTCTGCCCTGAAAGAGCAAATGCGTGGCCACAGAGACTGCAGGGTCCATCAAGTCACACGGGACATGACCACTGTGGGGCCCACGTGGGGCCCTCGGCACCTCACCCCCCGATTTCCCACCCTACGCCATATGCTCCTTCCGTGTTGAAGAGAACACTCTACTCTTGAAGGTGGCCACTTGTGCCACTGGCCCTGCCTGTATCACATAAAGAGCTTCCCACCCTCCAGCAGTGTGACACAGACACTGTGGAAGGAGGAAATGCCTCTGGGGGCTAGTTTTACCCTAAAAGTCTGCCTACCCCTCTGCCAATCCTTAGACACCTAGTCTGTCAATGTTTCATACTTCTACTGCTGCCTGGTGAAAGATTTCCTAGCCTCTTAGCTTTAAAATACTGGCAACTGGCCCTTCTGACTGTGTGATCCTTCACCTGGACTTTGGCATTTGGGGGAGTGGGACGGGTTGATGGTATATAGCCCCAAAGTGCTCTGCCGCACAGGCTGTCAGTCCTCCCTGTCTCTGCAGATTCTGCTCCTGACAGCAGGGTGCTCACCCCTGAGGAACACTGGGGAGGCTCTTCATAATCCACACATGCCTAAAAACCCTCTTCCCAAAAATTGCACATGCGTACCCCAATGTGAACAGCATTCACACAAGAGGATTTCCATGGGCAGTGTTTTGCTGGAGATATTTTTTTAATATCCAAATAACATTTCATAAGATGAAATATTTTAGTCATTTTAACTTAGTTGAAAGGCTTATTTTGGGATAAGGGCCTCATTTAATCTTCTCAGCTTGAAGTATTCTACAGCTACTGTTTACAGCATAAAGTAATTTGCAAATTCTGTACAAAATGCCACATAAAGCAGGATTACTGGAATGTGTTAAAGCCCACTAATCTTCCTATTATGGGATGGCATAGATGAAGACACAAAAATTTTTAATTTTTAAAAAGATAACTGCAGTTGTGAAGTGTTCTGAGGTTTCTTCAGATAATGTAAGGAATGTTGCCTAGAGCCTGAGAATGAAGGAGTTAAAATTTACAGATTCTATTCCTCTGGCTCCTGTTTATTATTCAACCTTCCTGTGTCTGTACATGATTTGCTCATGGGAGATTCACAGATAGTCTTGCTCGTCTAGCTCAAAGGGTTGTGATCAAGTTTGGATGACTGCCATAAAACAGACAGGGACAGAGTTCAAGGTGTCAGCTCACTGGGCTGTTTCCAAGGACATCACTGCCCCCCACTGTGCCCTGTGATGCAAAAGGAGCTATGTTGCTCCACAGGACGGGAGCCTGTGTCGTGCTCCAGTTTTTGTCTGAGTACCATATTCTTCAAAACTAAATCAACATATTTCATTCATAAACACCTAGGAATTGATCAACTGCCAAGTTACATGACCTCAGTGCCTTATGCTCTGCAGCCTGTCCACCCACAGTAAACCAAGGAACTCATACCAAAGCAGGCTGTCAAAAGTCAGCCGGTACTGTCTTTGTGGCAAATATAATATAGCAGGATTAAGGACTCTTGACCCAGTGCTCCATTCAGGAAGGCCGGGCTCCTTATTCACTCTCAAATTCATCAGCACAGACCTGAAGACACACTTCATGCTGACCTATTTTGACCCTATCAAACACTAAGTGTGCTAGTGGTCACTGGGGGGAAAAAATACCATTATTCAGGACACTTTGTCTGACTTCTTCACTTGAAAACTAGGTGCTCAGAAACAAACCAAGAAGGGTAGAAGTTAAATAAATCTGCAAAAGACCCAAATAGTACAAAGTTAGCCAATTAGCCCAAATCAGCAATCAGGATGAGATATAACCTAATTAAACTCAACAGTCTACGAAAGGATGTGTTCAAACAATTTCCCTTCATTATGAATTCTCTAATACAGACACTTTCAATTTAACACAGGATACAACAGAGGGGCACTTCTTTCCTGGGATCTTCAAAGTTACTCAAAGCTTCTTAAATTCCTATTTTTAAAGATGCCAGGGGAAATGAGTGACAGCCCAAATTTCAAAACAGTGGAAGTCCTATTCCAGAGCCCACTGTTGCAGATATAACTGTGGTATCACAAGACTGCACAAAATCAATTTTAAATTTTTGGATTTTGTTTTTTCTTTTCCTGGCAGTCGGATTGTTCGAGGCCAGACTCCTGAGAGTCTCTTGCTGCACAATGTCACCTTCTGTAGAGACCAGTATGCGGAATGGCAGACAGCCGTACAGTGCCCTGTGCCTCAATTTTCTGGCAAGGAGCCTTCGGTAAGAATGAACCCAGGAACTTTGAAAAAATAGCTGTCACCACAGTTAAAATAACTAGAGCTTTTATATGCTTAAAAGAAGAACAGCCTGTGTCACCACTAGGTGAAGCCAACTCTTTATTAAGTGTGCTAATGGAGAAATCGAGTTATGGATAATGTTAAAATAGGTCTACTGCCAAAAGCACTCTGTCTGTTTTGAAATGTGTTCTTCCACTATCATTTAAATATGGACGTCTGACATTGTGGGAATTCATAGTGCTCAAGTACAATAATCTTTCTGAAGGAGTTAAGAAGCCGTTTGGCTCACCACCCTCTGCTCTCAGCAAGCTTGGTTCTCTGTCTCCCTGTGTAACTGCCTTCTCCATTCTGAGAATTAATAGCATCACTTCTCAAACAAACGTTAAGCAACAGCTAAATGAAAATCCCGTTCCTCTTTATAAACTAGCCTTCTTCCTTTCTACAACTTTTGGGATAAAAAAAATGGGGGGTGTTAAATGCATTTACTTCCTGTTCTAATTACGCTCCCATAACTGAAATAATGACAATGTTAGCCAAGAAGAGATGTAATTAGAATAGATGATAATGGCCACCAGATCACAGAAGTTAAGATTTCCTGAGCGTGCTATGACCACTACAGTGTGGCATAGGTACATAGAAATAATAACTTATTGGTCATCTCAGGTATCTTAGAACAACGCAAACCCTGGGACAGCTAGGTGATGTGTGGAAGAAAATAAATGAAGCCAGCAGATTAAAACTAGAAGAAACAAGTGCCAAAATACCTGTACTACAGAAAATGGAATGATAGTATATAAATGGTGGGGATTCGGGAAAATAAGTTATCAATTTATGAAGAATATAAATGATTGACTTTTTTCTAAAATCCTCACATTAAAGGAACTGCTGGATTTTAAGGATGAAAACTGCTAGGAGAAATGTTTAAAACGGAGAGAACTGGAATAGATATGCCCATTAGACTGTGGTTCTTTTAATGGCCAGTATAGATTGCCTCTGTCTTAAACTCAACTGTGGGCAGCCACTACCCAGCCTGCATATTAATGAGGACCACAGATGCCTCTCTAAAATTTTCAACTACAGCGTCTCCATAAAAAAATCAATACTCTCCCACACCTCATGAATACAGACCAGAGCCTGTTCGTAGCCACATATGCTGACATTAATTATCATTAAGAGGGGGGATTTTACCCATTTCTCTGTTAACTCTACCCTGCTACACCTCCTTGCACACCCAAACTCATGTTGTCACTCTTTCCCATTATTTTTAATGGATCCTGATTCAAAGCATGTGTGGGCTGTGCAATTACCGCTTGGCTGACTGTACAATATTCCCTCTGAAGTCTTATAGACGCTGAATCCAAAATGCATCCCAAGGACAAGGAAGGGCTCCTGCACTTCAACACTCTACACCTACCCCATCTGTGCAAGACTCCATCTCTTCCTCTTTGCCTCTCCTAACTCAGTGCATTTTCATGGTGCTTTCATCAATAGAAATACTTATCAGTCTGTTTCAGTGATGCATTATTCCCCAAGTTAAGATGGAGGATGCTCCTTACATCACCTCCTAGAAACTGAACTGATCAAAGCAGCCAATTAGATCTTGCAGTCCCCTTTCTCCCCAACTTGTCTCACTCCTCCTTTCTACCTTAAATTCACAGACACATACAAGACTACAGACTCTAGAATTGTTCATGCAATCCATTTTCAAAAGATGGATCGTCTTCCTTATCTGAAAAGCACCGTGTTTCATTTAACTACAGCATCAACAAGTAATAGTAATAATAATAGTAAGACTGATACTGTTTGAATTATTAGGGTATAAAGTCAACAGCATAGGGGAAAGCTTTAACTGAGGTAGAGGCACTTCAGCAAACTCTTTCCAAAAGTCTATTATATGTTTGGATTTGCACTAGACACAGGATTCAGAGATGTGGTTCCTGCCCCTGGAAATCTTATTGTCTAGAAAAAGAGGCCATTCATAAACATACACATAAAATAAAATCAAAGCCAACATGTTCTTATTTTATGGTAGAAATGAAAAAGCAGGAATGAAAGTGAAAGAAACAAATTTCATTATTGCAGCTTTTAAATCAACCTGGTTTTATTTCTATCATAAGATACTCACTGTACTGTGACTTTTTTGAGTATTTTGGGAGAAGAACAAATAAATCTAAGAAGCCACAGAGTATTTTAGCATTAAAGAAACTTGGACACTAAAAAGCTCCGCCCCTTTTATGTAGTAGATGGAGAAGCCGAGGCCCAAGGAGTTTTAATTTCTTACCTATCTTCACAGAGGGCATTCCCAGCAAAGCCACGTAAAGAAACCAGAGCAGCTGACTGTGGCCACGACCTTTCAACTCTACACTCTTCAACCCTTCTTCTGAACCTCCGATATCTCCTACCCCTCACTTTCTCAGCTCTTGGCTGCTGTCTATGAGTACATATTCCCAATATTATGTTTATCTCTGTGAATAAAATGCTATAACATTTAAGAGCTTGGAGGGAACTTAAATGATAATTTCCTCCAGGTCTCCCATTTTATAAAACAAAATTTGAAAATAAAAAGGCCCATGATTTGCTAAAGACAGAGTGACAGATTGTGACCCCAAGACCAGAAGCCAGGTCTTCTTAGACTCGGTCCAGGTTCTGTCTGGACACATATCCCTCCTGCTCTGTGGCATTGCTTCCTCCTCTTCTTTACTCACTCTTCCTGGTCTTTCCTGCAAGGAAAATATTCTAATATTCACCCCTGACCATATCTGTCCCTCACTCCCTAAATCCTAGGGACTCGAGGAGTATTACAGTGTAACTAAACCAGGCTTTCTCCTCCTGGGGCAATTTATATACTAGAGTAGAGATAGAGCCAAGGATTAATAGCTTACATTCTCCTCCCTGACTAACCATACAAAAAATAATAATCCATTCCATTTCATCAACATGACAAAATCGGAGTCCATGACTGGCTTGACACCACCAGAATGAAGTATGTGATGTCTAAAACAGGCATGGAAGATTATTTGTAAGAACACACAGAGACACGTATTGTGCAAATGTGTCTCTCAGCTTGCATAGAAGGCATTGCATTCTTGTTATCATTTCTGTAAGTACCCAGACCAAGAACACACAGAGACACGTATTGTGCAAATGTGTCTCTCAGCTTGCATAGAAGGCATTGCATTCTTGTTATCATTTCTGTAAGTACCCAGACCAACTCTCAAAACCCTTCCTGGCTCTTTCCTTCTCTTGGTCCAACCCCACCCTTCATGCCCACTCCTTCCAGTCTTTCCCCTTTCTCTGCTCATCATTACTGCCTTGCCTGCAGAAAAAGTGGGCAACAGAGTTTATTCTCTCCACTATTACATTGCTGAACCCCACTGAGGCAGAAAATTATAAATGGGTCAGATTTCTTTGTGTTGCCTGCATAAATTGAGCCTCTATCAGGCAAACAAGAGGCTCCCAGGGAAAAAGCAAAGAGGGCTGATTTAAGTGAGAAGAGGCACCACGCAGAGACCCAGAAATAAACAAAAGAGGAATAGAAAAAATAAGAAAGATTACAGAAGTAAAAGTAATGCCAAAGGGCTTGCCACCTGTCAGTGGAAGAGGGAGCAGGATACAGGCGAGGGAGTGGTGAGCGGGGAACATGGTGAGTCAGCCGGAGTTCACTTGAGCAGGGCACCCCTCCTCCACCGCGGGTAGGATACTAGGAGGCAGAGGATTTAGACAACCAAGGAGGGGATTCAGGGAAATTATGAAAAGACTTGAGTTCTACACCTGCCTGCCTGGGATCCTGCTCTGTCTGCCTAGGCAACTCATACCCATTTCCAGAATGTCAAGGTTTTTCATCTTTAAATCAAGAATTAGACTAAATTTTCAAGAACCCTTAATATCTTAAAATTCAATGAACGAATGAGTCTCTAATGTTTTATAAAACAAGTGTCAGTACCGAAGTCAGCACTGGACAGAAAGAAGCAAGAGTACATGGTAAATGCTCAAGGGGGGCACCGAATCCCTGGGAAGAGCCCAGACTGGGTGGTCAGATCCAAGTGGGTTCTCATCTTGACTGTGACCTTAGTGCCTCTGGGACCCTGGACAATGGGATCTTGGTGAGCCTGTTTCCTCTTCTGTAAGACAAAGAGATTGCCATATGCCTTATAGGGTTTTGTAGTAGCAGGCCTAGTATAAGTCTTCAAAAACTTGAAGTTTCCATGCCTTCTCTTTTTGAGGAAGAAGACACTTTACATTGTAAACAAGCCCTGGTACAAGAACAGCCCGCTGGTACACGGATCATTGATAATGCAGATTATACTCATAAAAAGTTAACATAGGATGGGATTTATGAAGAATGGAAATGTTCACTGTCACAGTTCCTCAGACAATTGTTGAGGCTTTTGTTCTGATTCTGTAAACCCAGATTTAAAGTGCTGAGAAACAAACTTTATGTTTTATGCCAGATCACATTAGCCACACGTGTGTGAGTGGAGCCCACGTATGTGTTTCTTTAGGCAGACCACCAAGGAGTAATGCATTGTTAGCCCCCAAAATTACTATTTGAAATGTTTTAATTTAATTTCCCTTGTCTTATGTTGGCTCAGTAATGTAGCTTTGACTTTGGCTGAGTAGAGAAGCATTTATAACCCTATTATATGTAACATAAACATCAATCCGCTTTCTTATTTCTTTGCAAATTCAATTATTTCTAATTACATAAAGTCATCATTGATCAAGTAAGCATAAAAACCAATACAGAAGAGTTTAATCTCTTAAATAACCTCATAGACTTCAAGGAATAATTGAGTGTTATAGTCTTTATATAAGGAAACATCTTTGTTGTAAATAACTGGCCCAAAGTGAAAGGAAAATGTCTAAACCCCATCATGGTATATATTGATTTGATTCAAATTGAAAATATTTGGAATCTACTTTCATTTCCTTCTCCTCTCACTCTCTCTCTCTGCTTCCTTCTGCAGGCCTGGAAATGGGTTTTAGGCCCTGTGGTCTTGTATGTGTGTGAAAGAATAATTAGGTTCTGGCGATTTCAACAAGAAGTTGTCATTACCAAGGTATGCATGTAGCTTTATGTCTAAATAAAAGCCTGAGTGTAGATGAAAATTTTTTATTAGCCCAAGTTTTTAATTTGCCATTTTTACTGCAGGCCTGTCAGTAATTTAGACGCTCATCTTCTGCTTTAATAATTGCTTGTATCCTGCATATCTTTGAGTGTGACTAATTTCACCAAAGACAGGGATCAGAGCTCCAGACTGGTACCCAGAAATCTATTAAAGGTTATGGGACAGCAATGGAATCATCTGTCTTTCTCTTTATTTCAACTTCTCTGTAGGAGGAAAAGGGCTGGGACACTGAGTACACTTAATGTTGATCATAGTGACTTATAGAATAATTGCTTCCTTTACCACCTAAACAGAGGAATTTTGCAAACACACAAATAATATACATACAGTTTAACACACACCCTCCCACTTGGAACTACTGAGCAGAAGACAGGGAAACGGCAGAACACTCGGGTTTGGAGAGGAGGGCGCTCACACTGGGAAGGAACCATGAGTGCAGAACTCTACCCTAGTGAACGAGGCTGGTGATAGGGCTTTGCAAATTTGCTGTCCTCCACACAGCTTCCTAGTGCTGGATGAAGATACGAACAGATAGACAGAGAATGCATGTCCAGGAGACAGCAATAGTACACTCAGTGTTTTAAATGTCCAAGGAGAAATTCTCTGCTAATCAAACCTATACCTCTTGGCTAATACAACATTACCAGCATATTCTTTCTCCTTAAGTGTTTTCATGAAAGCAGATGCATAGAAATTGCTTCATAGTTCTGTTTTAAGTTGTTTCTGCATTGCTGTTTTTAAATGAAGCACCAAAGGATATCAGGCTGTATCTCAAAGCCAGACAGTAAAACTCCTGGAAATCTACTAGAACTGTTACTAGGGAGACAATTTAACAGCAGAATCAGAACAAATATCAGTAGGGAGATGGGAAACAGAACTAATGATTAAAATGCTGTGAAATTCTCCTCTGAATGGAAAAATACTGTCACAGAATCTAGACACTTGATTTTGCTCCCTTATACCACCTGCCACAAAAGAAGACATGGGGGCCTGGGGAGCTTTTCAGAAAACAAGGTGGAAATCTAATAAGGGAAATTAGTTCTTTCCCTCTGATAAGCAGCAAGTGATTGAGCTCTTTAAAAAGTGATATGAGCTTTTGAATGATGCTTTCTTGCATCTAAAACCCCAAGCATATGCAGAAGATTGGAGAAAATTTGACTAAAACAAAACAAAACAAAACATATTCCGAGTGAGCTTGAAGATTGTTTTCCACGTAGAAGGAAAAACTACCAGGGTCAATTCACAAGGGATTAGAAAAGATGCAGATCATTGAAACCAGTAACAAACTGGACCTACATTTTAAAACATGGTGATAATTCTGTGATTATTTAAAAATTTTTAAGCATAATTAAGTGCTATGTATGATACACTAGTCTTATTCTCTTGGGTCTGGTTAACTCTGTTACCAAAAGCTTGACCATTTGAGACACAAAGTCCCATGCTAGACACCAAACTGCACCTGGGGGCAGCTACCCAAATTTCTGAATAGGACTCTGAAGGAGAGAAACGTAATTCTTGCTGGAGTTGCCAACTCGACATAAAAGTGATTGGAAAGATCCTTGAAAGCTAATAGCAAAGGGTATATGCAAATTCTGTCTCAAAAAAGCTGACTTAAAAATGTAAAAACCTTTGATGGAATGAAAGCCATTGTCTGATTATTTAACCTGAGTGAAAAGACAAACATCTCTCTTGCTCTGATTTAGGTGGTGAGCCACCCGTCTGGAGTCCTAGAACTTCACATGAAAAAACGTGACTTTAAAATGGCACCAGGGCAGTATGTCCTGATACAGTGCCCTTCCATCTCCTCGCTGGAATGGCACCCCTTCACCCTCACCTCTGCCCCCCAGGAGGACTTCTTTAGCGTGCACATCCGGACAGCAGGAGACTGGACAGAAGCTTTATGTAAGGCCTTTGGGGCAGAGGAACTGGTGCCGAGGGAGCTCCGGAGCCTGCCAAGGTTGGAGCCCATTTCTTTTTTTACATATAATTTGGAATATTATAAAAAGTGAGGTATTTTTATACATCAACATGCTATCAAATTCGGCAGTCGCTTTATTCTAGGTGGTAAGTTTGAATCCATTTTTCGAATTTGAGATTCCATAGAAAAAGCATAACTTAGTAAATTTCCAGTAGAAGCAAGGGGATTTCTTTAAAAAAAAAAACCAACTATTCAACAAAGGCAGGCAATGATCCAGGAAAAAGGGGCATTTTGCTTTCCCAACTCAAAAGCAACACTTCGCTAATTACACGCAGACTGCAGTGAGGAAGACAGCCCCGTGAACGTTTTGCTGTCACAGTCCGAGGTCTTTAAATTGTATTTGTAATTTTGATCTTCATAAGAAGTATATTTTACAGCCAGAATTAATCTGGCAGGACCCATGTACTGGAAAAAGAGCTAAACAATTCCAGATTGAAGCTTGTAAAATGACAAAGTGATCTGAAAGTCAAGAAAGTCAGTGGTGTCATTCAGTCCATCCTACATGTGTGTATGCCACAAGTATTAATTAACCTCCACTGTATGCCAGAAATACAGAGATGGCAAAGCATTGCCTCCATTCTCCAGGACATCCAGGGGTCTCATGGCATCAACATCGACACCTAAGTCGATGATTTAATGTGGCTACAAGGGAACTGTGCAAAGGGTGAATTGGAGGAGGGTGGGAAAGTACTGAGGCCATCTGTGTTGGTTTCCTTGGGTGGCTGTAACAAGTGGCACAAACAGGGTGGCTGAAGGCATTAGCAATTTATTCTCTGACATTTCTGGGGACCAGAGGTCCAAAATCTGGGTGTCTGTGGGCCATGTTTCTGCTGGAACTTAGAGGTAAGTACACTTCCTTGCCTCTTCCTCTCTCCCGGCGATTTGCCAGCGACCCTTGGCAACCCTTGGCTTGCAGCCGCAGCGATTCAGGCTCTGCCTCCGTAGCCACAGGGTGTTTTCTCTTCTTGGGTCTGTGTCTCTCTGTTCCCATGGCATCTTATTAGAAACGTTAGTCCTACCAGATGGGCAGCCTACCCTCCTCTTCTATGATGACATCGTAACTTGATGAGTTACATCTACAACAATAAGGTCATATTCTCAGGTGTCAGAGTTAGGACTTCAACCTACCAGCTGGGCACATAATTCAACTCAACACACCACCCTATTCAGAAAAGCCTGGTCGCATGGCTGAAGTCTCAGGGTAAATTACCACTCCTTGACTCCTTTAAGCAAATAATAGCTTACAGTCAATTCCCACTCTTACTGTACAATTAGTCACCAAAAGAGGGCAAAGCTCATGTTTAGAGTCCCAGAAAAACAGGGACACACACAAAAAATGTTGAGGAAAAACTTTTGAAAAGAATGTGGTATTTCAAAAGAAGCATCAAGAGATTCTTTCTGTCATCCCCGGAGGGTGTCAGGAGCTACCGCCCAGTGGCACTAACATAAGAAATTGGGTGGTGGATGCTGTGAGGACACACTTAGACTGGAACTTCCTAAGGGCATGCTGTTGTCTGTCCTCCTCTATATGTCCAGGCCTAGAACAGTGTCTGACACATAGTGGGTACAGAGTAAATATATTTAATGAGGAAATGAGTGAATACCCAACATGGATCTTTAGCTCATTTATTTTAACAAATATTTATGGCTAACAAACTAGGCACTGGAATAAATTTAAGACACAAAATCTAATCTGCTTATTTTCTCTCTTTCTCCCTTCCCATGGGACACTGAGTTGCAACTTTGTAGCACTGGGCATGGTGGTGTTCAGTCACACGCCTTCATTTCAAACTTTGGAACTAAAGATTGCATGATAACAAACCAAGTGTGAGTGTCACCTGCTCAGACCAGAGCCTCAAGTCAAATGCCAACACTTGACTATTCCATTAAGACCTTTTCTTTTTAATCAGAGAAAGGAAGCAATGAAACAGAAACCTAAGGTTCAGAATGCAGTGCAAATGCTTAAAACCAGGAATAAAAGTACACACACACACACACACACACACACACACACACATGCACACACCAGTTCCCACTCTCCCCTTGGCACTGCCAAGATCAATACCTTCACCATGTTGCTAGCCTGGTCTCTGGTTTGGGTGCATATAGTAAGCTGGTCTATCAACCCACCTCCCCTTTCACAAACCCATCTGCTAGCATTTCAGCTAATCCCCTAAGAATTGCAGATGTTTCTCAATAGTCAGTGTGCCCTTCATCTGTGGAGTGCATCCCCAGCTTGAGGTCTGACATGATCTGTGCCCTCCACACCAACTTGGCCTCCCCAGGCTACACTGCTCCATTTCCTGCTGCCCCTTCACACTCAGCCATTCTTCCAGCCGGCGTGTTGTACCCCCACACTGAGAGCACACTCTCCTGCTGTTCCCTCCACCTGGAACACCCTTCCTCAGTCTCTGCTTGGCTGCCTCCCGCTTCCACAGGTCTCAGCTCACATGTCTCCTCCTGAGACCTCTTCTTCCTGCCTCACATGACAATTTGTAGTCAGCATGCCCTGTGTCTGCTTATGCCCAAGACCTACTTGATAATTCTCTGAACCCAAGAAAAAGGGAGAGAATGTGAATCCTTCACAAGACTTTGCCTTGTGAAGTAAAATGGAGGAATTTCTCAGAATTGACACTGGAGTTTTCAGCAGTTTAACCTGCTGCCCAGAGCCAGGGGCTTCAGCATCTGCCCGCCTGAGTTCAAAGCCCAGTTTTGCATGTGATCTTTGAGAATGTACATGACACCATTCTTCAGTTTCCTCATCTGTAAAATGACAATCATAATAATAGTACCTAAGACTCTGGGATGAAATGTGACAATCCATGTAAAGCCCTTAGCATAATGCATAGGGAAAAAAATAGCTATTATTATTAGTGAAATAAAAAAAGGCCACCTGCCACAGGGCTGGCAATGACAGCAATGATTAGACAGGGAGAACAATGTAGGTGAATAAAGGTCCTGGGACCGGAGAGATGGGACTGGAAGCTGATGAGGATGCTGCTGACTATAAGCAACAGGGACAGTGTGATGTGGACACTGGGGAGACGAATCATTTTCTAGGCTGCATTGTTTGACTCTGTATCCAAATCAAAGAGGAAGGTGGCTGAGTAAAACTGATAAATAAAAATTTGTGCAAAGGAAGCCAATTCAGAATTGCAAGAGGTGGTGGGCAATGGAGTCATTTTGGTCCAGAAAGAACAATGGGGTGTCCTGATAGCTATGATCAACCATTGAGAAGCCTCTGGCGCAAGAAAGGGAAAAGTCCTGGTATATGTTTCTCAGGAAGGCAAAAGTCATGAGTTGTCAGAAGAGAGATTTCCATGAGACATGAGAAAAAACTGTCTACTACTTAGAACTCCCCCTAAATGAAACAAGGGGCCCTGAAATTCAATATCAGAATATGAACAGCTATCAGGGCTGTGGAAGGAAGGATACTATATTAGCAGGCAAGTTGGACTACATATCTCCTCTTACAGCTTACAATTTAGATTCTCGATTCTAATTATGTAGCAGTTTATTTATTATATATTTCTGTGGATTACATGAAACAATTCTTCTTTGGGTTTAATTGTTATCTTTTCAAATCAGTGTCAAATCCCAAATGCAACTAATTATAAAAACAATTAACAATAAGACATTTTAATCCTTGGACAGTGTCATTTTTTCTCTTTCAGTTCCCCTTATCTAATTACTTATAAAATAATCTACAGTGGGCTGAGATACTAACTCTTTCTGGTTAATGACCTTTTATTTTTATTCTTCCATTTCCATATATCAATATGTAATAAAACCTTATTAATTAAGATTAACTTGAGAAGAGTTCATTTGAATTATTAGGAGGTCTGGCATATGAAATATTTTAAAATAAACCCAACTGAACTTCCGTGAACACGTAGTAAGCCCAAATGGGCCAGCCTCGGGTGCCTTCGACAGACACCCCTCGGGGAATGGTTATGAATAACTGAGAAGCCTTCTAATTAGCATATCTTTGTTCATATGTAAATGTATGCTTTTGGAATAGCTGAGGTTATTAAATTCATTCTGCTCAGTGAAATATTTTAAACATTCCCTTTACAATGAATTCAACAAAGTGTCATTGAACAAGCCCAGGCCAGAGAGCATGGCAGACACTAGGATGCAATGGTGAACAAAGACAGACCGGCTCCTCCCTCCACAGAACTTGTGGTCTTAGTGATCAAGACAGACACAAACCAAATCATGCTCACACTTACACCCAAAAAAACTAAAATTACAAACTGTGATGAGACTCTAGAGGAAGAATATGGTGCTATAAGAGGGAATTTAACCTTGTCCAGGTCATCCATGAAGGCTGTCCCAGGGAAATGATGATTGGGATAAGACCTCATGAAAAGGGAACTCTTAACCAAGTAAGAGGAGAGGGGAGAAATTGGGGCAGAATATTACAAGTGATTACTTGGATTTACACATGCAGGGGCCCTGTAGCAGAAGTGAGTGTACTGTGTAAAATATTGTGCATTTTAGGAATGAAAGAAAAGCCAGTGTAGAAAACAGGTTGTGATGGTGTAGAATCCAAGAGCCAGTCCACTCAGGACCAAGATGATTAAATTTATTCAATGAATATCCTTTATCCCTATAAAGAAAAATTTGCTAAGCAAAGAACACATCAGTGCCGCTCCTGGCCTAACTCACATATTTTGAGTTTGCATAATTGGAAATAACAAGTTTTAGAAATTTCACAGAACTGATAAATTATCTCAAAATTATATTTATTCCAAGTGAATGACTTTTAATAGACTAAAATTATATAAACATACTAAGCTACGGGGCCAAACAGATAAAAACAGGAGAGAAGTACACTAGCAAAAGGACAGATAAGCTTTCTAAAGCGCCTTGATGCTTCTCTTTTGGTCCTCTGAGGGCAGCTGGGGAAAAACAAAAAGAGGAAGACAGAAAACAAAAAGCCTCTACAAGGCTTCCTGAAGCTTGGAGCTGAAACAAGCTTCGAAGGACTGTCAGAAGAGAGGTCCATATGGAAGAAGTGTGAGCTCGAGCCAGGAGGTCAGGAAGCCAGGCTTTGTGCTTCTAGGACTGGCACCTGGGCTGGACTCCCCCTTCCACCCGTCCGGGAGGCAGGCTCCCATTTCTTCATGCTGCATCCAAGGTTCTCCAAACAGGGCATTCTCGAGCTCAGTGCCAAGCCCCTGCAGATTTCTGCAAACTCATGCTCTAGAAAGCACTGGTTTAAGATGGCTTCGGTGTCAGGAAGAGTGACATGCATGTCATACGGCTGAATGTCATACGTGTGATTGCAGACTGGCGGTGGACGGGCCGTTTGGAGCCGCGCTGACGGACGTATCTCACTACCCGGTGAGCGTGTGCATTGCTGCAGGCATAGGAGTCACTCCCTTCGCCGCCCTTCTGAAGTCTATTTGGTACCGATGCTGTGAATCACAAACCCAGCTGAAGCTGAGCAAGGTATGGAAAAAAACCGTCAGTTCACCCTTCCATGGACTAAAAGGTTCAATGTCCTTGAATCTATCATCTGATGATTCTTGGGGAGGATTTTAATTAACTATGAGGGATAAACTCAAGGATCCTTAAGTATACTTATGTTCTTAAAAAATCTCCATTCAGTATTACATTTATGAGAAGGGTTATGTCTAATCTTGTTAAAGATGACAAGACAAATTTTATTGCTTCATTGCCATTACAGGACACGTAATTGCTCATGTCAGTAAAATACGGACAGGCAGCAAAATGTTATGCGACTGGGCCGTGCTCGGTAGGTTAACAGGCAGCCTTTCCTCAGCCTCTTTAGCTCCGTACCGTGGCTGCACAGGTAGGTTTAGTATCTTCCTCTCCCAGGGGTTCAGGGTCTGAACTAGAAGTGAAAATGCCACAGCTGGAATTCCCTGGCCCACTTACTTGGCACTGCCCTCCACCTCCAAACCTCCCTTTCACCATTTCTGGTATGTTCTCTGACCTCCGTGCCTCCATGGTTGCCCTCCTTCTTTTGTCCTATCCAAAGACTCCATCCTGTGCTGAGCCCCTCTTAGGACCAGCAGCAGACTAGGGCAGCAGAGAAAGGGAGCCATGCTAACACCGAGTGGTGTCAACTCAAGAGGACCCAGGACACTGGGCAAGCCTGGTTCTGGTCCTGATTCTGCCACTTCTTCTCTGTTTGACTCTTGGCTGAAATTTCTTTATCTATCAAAGGAAGGGGCTTGATTAGATCGGTGTGTCTCAGCGTGTGTCCTGTGGAACATGAGTCATGTGATACGATCCCCTAAGGAGAACTCAGTGGTCAGATGCACTTAAGAAATGTTACTACAACTCCCCCTCTAGAAGATTCATGTAATCTATTAGCCTATTAAATAAGTTCTGTAGAAGACAACGGCACTCAGTTTTGCCATACCTACCCTTCTCAAGTTTGTTTGGCCATGGAAACTTTCTTCATCTAACATTTATTAAGGAAGAGCATTCTGTGAAGCACTGGGTCAGTGCCAGACTAGAAGATCTCTAAAGTTGGGGCTTTCCTAACTAAGAAATAAGAGTAAAATTAGCTATCATTTCACGAGTTCCCAAGTGACAGGTGCTTGACATACATGTTTCTCACTTGATTGATATAACCTTCCAACAACCTTATAAAGATAGTACAAAGTCTGTTTTTCAGGTAAAGAACCTGAAGCTTAGAGAGACTGAAGTGACTTTCCTGAAAATACATGGGTGATAAAAGGCAGAATCAGGATTCCGACCTAGGCTAATCTGACTCTTTCCATGCCATAACCAGCCCAGGGGATGAGGGGTCATGACTCCCACCACTGCATTGTGGGGAGACGGTGGGATGGCTGTCAGAGATGTGCCCTCAGCCTGATTCCACCCTCACCACAAGCATCACCTTGAAGGACTCAGCTCACCTCACTGAGCTGCGTTTCCAGATCCACGCAGGGAGACATAGGCATCCATCCAACAGGGAATATGAACCCCAAATAAGACAAATATCGTGGAAATATTACTGTATAAATTTGTATAAAATAATGTACATGTTCATTATGTCTGCCAAAGATGTAAATAGATAACTAGGACTACTACACAACTGCTACTAGTTTAGACTTATCAAGCACTGACTACCTACCAGACAGGGAGTTAAGCCTTTTATACACCCTATCTCACATCATCTTTTTAACGTACTTAATATTTTTATTCCCATTTGACAGAGGAGAAAACTGAAGCTGCATCAGAGCTAATAGAAATGATAGAGTCATATATGGATCTCTCATAATACTACCTTCAGATAAGATATATCCTCAGTTTACCAGTGAGGGACCCCAAGTGCAGAGAATCCAGACCCTTCTTGCACTAAAGCCCATTTTATTTCCTCTAAATCACAATAAAGTTAACAAAGGGTCTTAGTCTGTTTTGGCTGCTGTAACAAAATATCATAGACCAGGGGGCTTATAGACAGCAGATATTTATTTTGCACAGTTCTGGATGCTGGAAGTCCAAGGTCAGTGTAACTGTATCCAAATCAAAGAGGAAGGTGGCTGAGTAAAACTGATAAATAAAAATTTGTGCAAAGGAAGCCAATTCAGAATTGCAAGAGGTGGTGGGCAATGGAGTCATTTTGGTCCAGAAAGAACAATGGGGTGTCATGATAGCTATGATCAACCATTGAGAAGCCTCTGGCGCAAGAAAGGGAAAAGTCCTGGTATATGTTTCTCAGGAAGGCAAAAGTCATGAGTTGTCAGAAGAGAGATTTCCATGAGACATGAGAAAAAACTGTCTACTACTTAGAACTCCCCCTAAATGAAACAAGGGGCCCTGAAATTCAATATCAGAATATGAACAGCTATCAGGGCTGTGGAAGGAAGGATACTATATTAGCAGGCAAGTTGGACTACATATCTCCTCTTACAGCTTACAATTTAGATTCTCGATTCTAATTATGTAGCAGTTTATTTATTATATATTTCTGTGGATTACATGAAACAATTCTTCTTTGGGTTTAATTGTTATCTTTTCAAATCAGTGTCAAATCCCAAATGCAACTAATTATAAAAACAATTAACAATAAGACATTTTAATCCTTGGACAGTGTCATTTTTTCTCTTTCAGTTCCCCTTATCTAATTACTTATAAAATAATCTACAGTGGGCTGAGATACTAACTCTTTCTGGTTAATGACCTTTTATTTTTATTCTTCCATTTCCATATATCAATATGTAATAAAACCTTATTAATTAAGATTAACTTGAGAAGAGTTCATTTGAATTATTAGGAGGTCTGGCATATGAAATATTTTAAAATAAACCCAACTGAACTTTCGTGAACACATAGTAAGCCCAAATGGGCCAGCCTCGGGTGCCTTCGACAGACACCCCTCGGGGAATGGTTATGAATAACTGAGAAGCCTTCTAATTAGCATATCTTTGTTCATATGTAAATGTATGCTTTTGGAATAGCTGAGGTTATTAAATTCATTCTGCTCAGTGAAATATTTTAAACATTCCCTTTACAATGAATTCAACAAAGTGTCATTGAACAAGCCCAGGCCAGAGAGCATGGCAGACACTAGGATGCAATGGTGAACAAAGACAGACCGGCTCCTCCCTCCACAGAACTTGTGGTCTTAGTGATCAAGACAGACACAAACCAAATCATGCTCACACTTACACCCAAAAAAACTAAAATTACAAACTGTGATGAGACTCTAGAGGAAGAATATGGTGCTATAAGAGGGAATTTAACCTAGTCCAGGTCATCCATGAAGGCTGTCCCAGGGAAATGATGATTGGGATAAGACCTCATGAAAAGGGAACTCTTAACCAAGTAAGAGGAGAGGGGAGAAATTGGGGCAGAATATTACAAGTGATTACTTGGATTTACACATGCAGGGGCCCTGTAGCAGAAGTGAGTGTACTGTGTAAAATATTGTGCATTTTAGGAATGAAAGAAAAGCCAGTGTAGAAAACAGGTTGTGATGGTGTAGAATCCAAGAGCCAGTCCACTCAGGACCAAGATGATTAAATTTATTCAATGAATATCCTTTATCCCTATAAAGAAAAATTTGCTAAGCAAAGAACACATCAGTGCCGCTCCTGGCCTAACTCACATATTTTGAGTTTGCATAATTGGAAATAACAAGTTTTAGAAATTCCACAGAACTGATAAATTATCTCAAAATTATATTTATTCCAAGTGAATGACTTTTAATAGACTAAAATTATATAAACATACTAAGCTACGGGGCCAAACAGATAAAAACAGGAGAGAAGTACACTAGCAAAAGGACAGATAAGCTTTCTAAAGCGCCTTGATGCTTCTCTTTTGGTCCTCTGAGGGCAGCTGGGGAAAAACAAAAAGAGGAAGACAGAAAACAAAAAGCCTCTACAAGGCTTCCTGAAGCTTGGAGCTGAAACAAGCTTCGAAGGACTGTCAGAAGAGAGGTCCATATGGAAGAAGTGTGAGCTCGAGCCAGGAGGTCAGGAAGCCAGGCTTTGTGCTTCTAGGACTGGCACCTGGGCTGGACTCCCCCTTCCACCCGTCCGGGAGGCAGGCTCCCATTTCTTCATGCTGCATCCAAGGTTCTCCAAACAGGGCATTCTCGAGCTCAGTGCCAAGCCCCTGCAGATTTCTGCAAACTCATGCTCTAGAAAGCACTGGTTTAAGATGGCTTCGGTGTCAGGAAGAGTGTCATGCATGTCATACGGCTGTATGTCATACGTGTGATTGCAGACTGGCGGTGGACGGGCCGTTTGGAGCCGCGCTGACGGACGTATCTCACTACCCGGTGAGCGTGTGCATTGCTGCAGGCATAGGAGTCACTCCCTTCGCCGCCCTTCTGAAGTCTATTTGGTACCGATGCTGTGAATCACAAACCCAGCTGAAGCTGAGCAAGGTATGGAAAAAAACCGTCAGTTCACCCTTCCATGGACTAAAAGGTTCAATGTCCTTGAATCTATCATCTGATGATTCTTGGGGAGGATTTTAATTAACTATGAGGGATAAACTCAAGGATCCTTAAGTATACTTATGTTCTTAAAAAATCTCCATTCAGTATTACATTTATGAGAAGGGTTATGTCTAATCTTGTTAAAGATGACAAGACAAATTTTATTGCTTCATTGCCATTACAGGACACGTAATTGCTCATGTCAGTAAAATACGGACAGGCAGCAAAATGTTATGCGACTGGGCCGCGCTCGGTAGGTTAACAGGCAGCCTTTCCTCAGCCTCTTTAGCTCCGTACCGTGGCTGCACAGGTAGGTTTAGTATCTTCCTCTCCCAGGGGTTCAGGGTCTGAACCAGAAGTGAAAACGCCACAGCTGGAATTCCCTGGCCCACTTACTTGGCACTGCCCTCCACCTCCAAACCTCCCTTTCACCATTTCTGGTATGTTCTCTGACCTCCGTGCCTCCATGGTTGCCCTCCTTCTTTTGTCCTATCCAAAGACTCCATCCTGTGCTGAGCCCCTC